GCATTATGCTAAGCATTTGTTCCTCACATCTGTATCAGAAGTCCCATAGTCCTTTAATTTTTGCAGGTCAAATATATTTAACATGTTGGCAGTAATTTTATGATAGCGATTAGGGCAAGTTCCCCAAATTTCTTTCTTCATTTTCCAAAACTGCTGATCCGAAAGTCCTTTTTATCCAATGCAAGTAAAAACTTTAAGTCAATGTAAATGTCCCTGTTGTGATTTGGTAACGCATTTGTGTATCCTTACTCAGAGAAAAACCACTTTTACCTAATTTTGGGTACCCAGGTTTTGGAACCACTCCCCTAGGGGTTTTTTAACATTTAACATGTGAGTAAAATAAACGTTTTGAAAATTGAAAGGGATTACAAAAAAACAAGAAGATTTGTTCAACGTTGGTAGCAAACTGAAGATTTTATAGCTTTATAGTTACATAAATCTATTTAACTGACAAAGTCTTTGTAGATCACATATGCATTCCACTTATATACTGTCGTTTTTATAAGAAAGATAATCCTCATATTTACATGAAATAAAGTTTATTTCAATGGAATTTAATTCCAAGATTGTTTCATTTTCCAAACAGGAACATTCAGAGGCAAAAATGTAATAAATGGATGTGATAATTATATGGGAGTATCAACATCTACATTCTACAGCAATGCAAAAGCAGACCCATAAATGAGCTTTGCAAACCTGAAAACATACATACCATACCTTAAAGAAACAAAATTGGTTTGAAACAAAAATCAGATTTTCTAATTATTGAACTAGAACTAAAATTTTAATCAAGAAATGTAAATAATGCAAGCACTAAACAGAATCTTAGAATTTTGAATTCCTAACTTGAATTCATGTTCCATTTCAGCAATATGTACAGATTATTTCCTGTTTATGAAGAATGATTCATTTTAATCAAGATACTGGGAATATTGCTTGAAACATCCATTATCAGTTTGTCCAGTTGAAATATTACCATTGAATAGCATTTGTGTGCAACAGGTAGCATTCAACACGACAGTTCAATTTCACTTTAATCAGGAATATTTTTCTAATTAGATAGTGACCCTAACTAGAATTAAAGCTAAAGTATTAAGTTTGATAGAAAATAAGGAATACATTAGACTTTTATATAAGTATTGATTTAAATCAATTATCACCAAACTGTTATAATTGTACTTATTCTTATATATTGATTTACTTTCAATCAATGCAATTAAATGCAATTTATTATCTTAGTAGAATATATTCTAAGTCTACATAGTACAGTTTTTACAAGTGGGAATGTTGTTTCAGATTTAGTTTGGCAATCTATTCAAAAAGCAAAGCTTAACTAGTAGTAACCATGTGGGTAGTTTCAAAGAGGCTATTTTTGGCAACAATATAGGTGTTGCCTAAACCTATATTTTTTTGCCTATGTTGCCTTGCTATTGCCTTCATCCAAGATCCCATTTCCCTCTTCTAGCTTAGCCTGTAGCGCTGAGCTGAATTATTTATTCAATATTAGTATTGTCCAAGCATTTTTGTTTGTGTTGGAGATCAGCTCTTTGATGCTACCTGTGGTGACAATTCACTCATAATTGTAAAAAGGCTGCATAAAATTCCACCTTAAACTGCCCTCATTGAATTTACAAGATGTGAAGAGGAGCAGAAACTAAGGTAGATGGGCATCTGAAAACATAAAAACTCTTTATTCTCTGAAAAAAACTAAGGCAACAAAAGTTTAAATTCCCAAGTGTACAAAAAAGTTCCTTACTATAAATACTATTGTTTGATCTTCTCATCCCCAAACAATTAGACTGAATACATTTATACCTACTACAATATACCAATTAAAATCTGGCCTGCTTTTCAATTATTTATATAATTAATTAACAAAAATCAGTTGTGTACTGATCTGGGATTAGAATTATAGATTGAAGTAGCTGGTGTATGAATCCTTACTTCATTGATTAGACCAATGAAAAAGATAAGCAAATATAATAGAAAACACTACTGTTAGGACTATTTTTCAATGGGATTAGGAACTGAAATGTCACAAAGAACAATATATACTAAATGTTACCTGGTTTCAGTCAATTCTGCTGAATGTAACCGAGTTACATGCCTGTTTAATTAAGCCATCATAAACAACCTTTTAAGAACATATTTTTCAAATACAATTGATCAGCACACTATATTATTACATGGTATCAGTTTTTAAGAAAAGAGTTCATATCAAAGGGCAAGAATACTATTAATACATGAACAAAATTTATATCTTAAATACTGAGAAAGTTTCATATTCATTCATCAGAGATTTAGCAGCATCAGCTTCAGAAAACCTTTTGATTAATGAACTTATTAACATTATGCAATTTATGTCTGAAAAATATATTCTAAGAAACACTGGTAACCTAATCAAAGTGGATTGCAGTTCACTGGGAGATCTTAACAAACCATATTCTCTCATGTATCACTCAAGTTGTTGTGAAAATAAAGTAAACATCCCACCTGACCCAAAGTCCTTAGAATAGTTGCATAAGCATGTCTTTAAGATACAAAACTGTAAAGTGTCTGCCTTTTTACTGCTATTCCAAAGTAAATTCCCATGTCTGAGTTTTTAAGTATTTAGACTTAGTCAGAGCAAACAGAATTGAACCACATATAAATGCTGTTAAAAATAAATTTATATATAAATCAAATCATTCGATGCAACTGTAAATTTGGCATTAATAAAAACATTACCAGTGGGTAAGACTTTAAGTATTTTCGTAACTACAACTTTCTTCCATTTAAGCATTTCTGGTTTTGTTTCTGAAGAGTGTATGTGTTTAGTCAAGAAAAAGTAAATATTTGTAATTTTATTGGTCATAAGTTCCAAATAGATTCTAATCCTAAACTCATATATATTATTTAAAGATCAAAAAGCTAATTGACATGATACATATACAGGGTTCAACAGAAAAGACTGGCTTTGTGGGTTTAAAAAAAACCCCTTTTCCTCCCACATTTGCAACATGATAAAATCCTTATCAACATGGAAGTATTGGTATCATGATAGCAAATTTGATGATTCAATAGCATATATGGCAAGCAGTGTAGGAACTTCAGTACTTGTCAAGAGCCCTCAACTTGAGAATTCAACGTTTCATGGCTAACTGAATAGTGATACAAGATTGTATTTGTCTAGCATACAAAGCCATTGCTTGTTGAACCATGATTATATTTCTCTGTGTTCATACAGCAAGATAAGCAATGTTAAATTGTACAGCTCAGCATGATTTGTGAACAATCTATAATGCAGTTGCAATCAAATGCAACAAAACGCATGTGATATTGAGAATTCAGATTTCTGAATAACTATAATATCTGTTAAAAAAACACTAAGTTTCTGAACATCTTTTTCATATGTAAACTGTTATAGTCAATATATTAGTCAGAAAATACAGAATACAATAGTAAGGACAATCAATTCAGAATGTATGACTATTAATCTTTGCTGAAAGTTTTTTACTTCTACTCAAATGTGAAACAATTCACTTTTTTATCGTATTCAGTTTAAATTTTTCAGAATGTCATATTTACATATTCTGATAAGGAGCATGCAAAATTGTTTATCAAATTGTACCTCATAATAGGCTCAATCTAAAATTAAAATGAAATCTTTCTAAAGAATTTTATTGTGATGCAAAAATATTTAACTGAATTGAATCTAAGCTTGACCTTCCACAAATAGCATCATTTTTTGTTATTATGGTAGATACAGGCTCCCTCCCCCACCACCTGAGCACATCACTCCCAAATCTCTACAGCAATTTTCAGGAAGGAAAGAGTGGATCTGCTAGGCCAAATTCTCCCTAATCTTTCCAGTTGAAGCTAGACACACACACACACACACAGAAATATTTAATTTTATAAGGGCAAAGTATTTTAATGGGTTATCTGACAAGTGTATGTCTGTTAATGAATGCCTTAAATTTGCCCCCCCCCCAAAAAAAATTAATTTAAATACGATCACTACCAAATACAGAATAGCTGTTCAAACATACAGTAGTGGCCAAAATTGTGGAAACCTTTTGGGAAAAGTGAATTTTTATGCCATCACTATCAAACAGGGGGTTCTTGGTCTCATCACTCCAAATAACACTGTCCCATTGTTCCTTGTATACACCCAGATGATTTTCTTTTGTCACGTAGGCACAGTCTCTTAATTCTTCTATCATCACTTGCTGTTGTGCACCTTTTCCTGCATTTACCAGTGTGGTTTTGTAGTGATTGAGTCTCCTTATATATCTTCAAAAACGTAGAAATGCCACCTTTGGTTACGTTTCCACCAATTTTTCTTCTAATTTCTTTATAACTGTTCACTTAATATTATTATTTATATCACTTTCTGGGTGACCAGTCAACTCTTTGCACCATTATTTTAATTTTATTACATTTTACAAGCTCACGAAATGAAAGAACACAAAAAACCCCAACCAACTTGATAGCGATCACATAACACACTGACAAATGTCCTCCTCTCAGCTTCAATACATGACATCAATAACTGAATCCTACTGTGATCTGATTGGCTCATTGCCAAAACAAAATGTCATCTGATTGGCTCTCTAAAAACTCATTCTTATTGGCTACAATCAGATGAAGGAAAATTACCTGATATCAACCTAAGTCAGTTGTGCTTCCTTTTTTTGTTTATTTGGCTATAACTTTTCATAGAATACAGATAACTGAACAAACTTTGTTGCATTACATTCTTGATTAAATTATCTTTCCACTGATATATAATTTTATGATACCAGTCCAAAAAGGGTAGTGTTATTAGCCATCAAACCTCAAAAATACATTTTCCCAAAAGGTTTCCATAATTTTGGCCACTACTGTACACAATTTTTAGGAATTTATTTTTTCTCCATTCTGGAAATAATATCTGCAAAAAAGAAACAATGATTAAATCCTGTATAAAAATAACATGCAACTAAAGCTTATAAAGCAGATTCAGGTATTAATATTTGTTAATGAATTCTTCTTTGTTGTCAAGGGATACTAAGAAACTACAGTACACCTGCCAACTGAATACTAACCTGAATTAGCATTTAATCAAAATTCTTGATAATTATAGGGCGATATTTTTTATTTCAAAAATACATCAATGATATTTATTGATGAAAACAGATAAACCAATGTGAGAGTTTATAGTATATGTATTTACATACAGATGAGAGTCTATTGTAGAGAAAAAAATTGCCGCATTATTTCATTTAAGTTTTGAGTCCAACTTCTGTTTTTAAAGAAATATAAATACTTAAACATTGGGTACATATTGGTGTACTGTAACTACAAATGTTGTGCAGTTTCAGTCTTCTTAGGCATAAGGATTTGAAAACAATTGAGGTGGAAAGTTGGGATGTATTCCTCTCAGTTCCATTTAGATCTGCAAATATGAAAAAAAAGTTAAAATACTGCAATTAAAGTACAATTGCTCAGATCAGAACAGATAGGCAGTACTATCTAGTAACAGCCACAATAAAATTAACCTGTTGTATTCAGAACTACTCTACTCAAATTGACATTACTCTCATTTATTATTTTATTTAGAAAATGTATATATGGTTGTCCATCTTATATGAACATTGAAATAACAATGTTATAACAATGAAATAAGCCTAACTCTAACCTCAACAAAAGACACCAAATGAAATAGTTATATCACTACTGAGGTAACTATGTAACTCAACTGCGTATAACAACATAATAATTTAATTATTTTTTATAATGTACATATATTAATTCTACCTCAATGTCTGACTAAAGCATTAACCTCTGTATAATTAGGACAGTTCAAGATTTATAAACAAAGTCTCAAGTTTTGTAGCACTGAAGTATAATAAACCATTATAGTACTTTCATGTAAGCAATTTTGCTCAGTCTTGCAGAAATCCATTTACATATTAGGAATAAAACTGCTTTTAATGCATTAAATGACTGGAACTAATCTCATCTCCTCACCATGGGAAGTGCTTAGAGGTGGTTTCTGGCAAGCCACATGAAATCAAATTAAACTTCCAAGGAAGAAAGATCAGCCTTAATTCTGAGCAGAAGTTACCACTGTCCGCCTTTCAGGTCTATTTCATATTAAGTAAATGAAAACAAATCCCAATCTGTTACTATCATAAGCAAGGATAACAGCTTATAGGTTTCATGTAATGCAAATTCTGATAGCAAAATGGCCAAATTTCAGTTGTGCAACTACAGAACCTTTGAGGGGAGTGTTATGGGTGGGATGAAGTGTTTCCAGAAGTCACCAACTCTAATCCCCTGCCAAACCTGAAGATACAGTGGACCCTCGTATCGCAACTGTAATCCATTTCTGGACTCCAGTCGCGACCTGATTTGGTTGTATCCGGAAGCACAACCAACTGTGCATGTGCGCAGTAAAAAAAAATGGCGCCAAAGGGCAACTCGGCATGGAAAGGGGATCTTTCCACACCGATTTTGTTCACCACCCAATTTTTGAATCGTGACCCAATTCAAAAATAGCGTGGATTTTTTGTTCGCCACCCAATTTGGTCACGAACAGGAGCGTTCACGACCCAAGGTTCCATTGTAGATTGAAAAAAATCTCAGCAACATTCCTTCTGGTGACATAATAACCTTCAACCTTCCATGGTCCTCTAGGAGGTAAAACTGAATCCCAATTTTTCAAACACTGTCACCCTACACTATAGGAACAAAAATTGTAGAATATTACTACAAACCTACAGAACTCAGTTTTTAAATTTAAGATGCATATGTAATTGGACTGTGAAGCAGGAATAGAATAGGTTCTTTAAGAACTTCTTAATTCTGTTAGCAGATTACATAGGGCAGAGACTTTTTTCAGTGGAAAGACTACCTTCTAAAGCTCAGAAATTTTCACTATATCCCTGTTAGATAATTCCTGTTCACCAAGGTAAGATATAACAAAGCTGAAGATGAAAATTATGAATTCACATTCTCTTTGAAACAGACATGTTAATTTTAAGATGAAACCTTTCTGATTACTTACATCATCAATATCTTCATCATCATCTCCAATATCATCAAATTGGATTTCATCATCATCACCAGGCCCAAATGTATCAGTTTCATTAATTTTGGCTATGTAAAAATAAAAACAAACCAGGAATATATCTTTGAAAATGCTTTTGAGTAAGAGGGTAAATGTATGTGTGTCCTTTATTCACAGTGACATGGGCAATGATGAGAATTTCTTACCGTGCTCTGGAAGTTCTCCATATGCCTTCAGGCTTCTGGCTTCATCTGCATTGTATTTTAGAATGACATCAGCCTTGTTATCCTAAATAATAATATTGTTGATAAAAATGATTTCTTCTGTGAAAACTTTATTAGGACATTTTAAACATCTTCTTTTACCAAGCTGTCTCTAATGAGAGACACAATCTCTGACACTTAAATATGAATTTAGTTTGATTTTCTCTGTACCATTTATTTATGAGAATAGAACATTATAGTAAATAGCTCACTAGATCACATATTCTTCAAACCTATATTATTAAAGCTATTACAGAGACACTGTACTAGTATGTACCAAGTTATACCTACATTATTAGGTAATGCAAAAATTAGTCACCCACTCAGCCTCCCATACTATTTGTACTGAGATTACAATACTATGCTAAGTAACTCCAGGTCTTACTACTAGTATAGTCTAGGTTAGAACTACATATTTACATACTTATGCTTAGTTTAAAGATGAATCAATCAAACATAGTTTGTAAATCCTACAGTTTGTCACTTGTGTTAGTGTCTCCTAATCATACCCTTATTCAACACTATCTATTTAGGACATGACTCAACCTCTCTGCAAAATTACCAATGGTGAAAGAAAGATATCTTCTTCCTATCTTGTAACCTGTATGTTGTCTATTTTGAGCAATTTAGGCTTAAATAAATTATGCTTAAACATAAATTTCATAAATGTTAATTCTTTTTTACCCTAAGGCACTGTTCAAGATTTATGATTAAAAAACATCCAAAGGAAGAAAAGTATCTTTACATTTTTTACATTCATACTGTTTCCTGGGGAAAAAAAAGTGACCTATCCCAAAAATAAGCCCTAGCCTGATTTTAAGAGTGGGCCTAATATAAGCCCTACCACAAAAAATAAGCCCTAGTGAAGGGGGTGGCCAGCACAGCATGTGGCCTCTGGCTGGCTGCTGGGCATGCTGCTGCTGGCCTCATGGGGGCTCTTCACCCTCCTGGCTGCACTCTTGGCCTCTCTGCGGCTTTGGCAGGCAGCAGCTGCATGGCAGGCCTGCAGCGGAACAGAGAGGAAGGGGGAGATTGCTCCTTCCTCTTTTGTACCCCCAAACCCTGTCTACCCTGGCCCTGACCTGCACCCCCAAACCCTTACCCTGGCCTCAGCCTGCACCCCGGCTCTGGAAAGGTGAGCAAGACATGCAACCCTATGCTACTGGTATGCCATACAATGGAAGCCATGCAAAGCAATGAGCCCTGACCCTCTTGGTTCCTGGGACGATCCTGGACTAGGGGTGTGCACGGGATTCCCAAGGCGGAGGCCTCATGGTGCAACACTGCCATACTCCAGAGCAAACCTCTGTCTTCCCTGCTCAGTATAGCAAGGCTGGAGGCCTCTGCAGCATCTGCCGACCAACTCTCTTCCTGTACCTGCTTTGCGCTGCTCTTGCTCCTAGGCCTTCATCTGTCCTGCTGAAGGGCTGGAATGGAGTTCCTGCCCATTGAAGTTGTGCAGGGAAGGGGAAGGGTGCAGCCTTAAGCTGAGGGTGGGCGACATGGCTGGCAAAGGGCCCCTAGCAGGGCCAGCAGGCAGGGCAGGTGGGGGCCGAGGCACATCTAGAATTTTGCCTGTTGCAGCTACAGGCAAGCAGATGGTGGGACGGAGAGGGTAGCGCCAGTGGTAACAGCACTCCCACTCCCATCAGCTCGTCGCCTCTTGTACATTAAAAAAAAAAAAAAGGACATCCCCCCAAATAAGCCCAGGTGCTTATTTTCAAGCACAAAAGAAACTAAGACCAGGTCTTATTTGGGGGGGAAACACAGTAGAAAATAAAGGTAAATGTGATTGACTAAATCATTGTTTATAAGTTCCATGCCTGTTTACAAAAATTAAACCAAACTGTCATCACATTGCATTATGTAATAAGAGTAACGACCAAATAGTAACTAACTTACCTGGTAGTCTCTTAAACCCACCAATATGATATCTGATGTATTTATCCAAACCTAAAAATCAAAAGAAAAAAGAAATTTTATTCTTTTTTTCCAGACTAACATTTAAAAAATTCTATGAGTTCTTTAAGTTTTGAAACACTTAATGAAATGTAATCTTTAAAAGACCTGCAATTGGCTGAGACAAGCAATAAATCTTGGTTAATGCTATATAATTCAAGTACTTGATCAGTTGCTGAATACAATACGATGTGTGCATAATATTGCACCCTACTGTAGAGGTTAAATCACAATACCTGCATGTTTTCACATTTAGTTATGCATTCTGGAGCAGAAACACCATATGGAAAAAAAGTAACAAGATGCCACTTTCAACTTTCAAAATTCTGACTGTAGAAATTTTTAAACTTTTAAAAGTTTGGATAATGTACAACAGCACCTATTCCATTAATCTTGTATTGTTGAGACTTTGAGTTATAAAGATATCTGCAATGCTAATACAGAATAGATCCTAAACACTGCATGCTTAGTTAGACGGGAGAATATCTGCAATGAGTCATTAGCAGTGGGATAAGTTAAGTAACAGAACAGTTCTTCATAGAGAAGAAAGACAGATTTCCAGGAACTGGAACAGCACTGGAGAAATTTTTTAGTCTTAAGAAGGTGTTTTCAGTGCTCAAAATGGTATGCAATATAAAAAAAACATTAAGGAACAAAATGTGTAAGGGAAATGAAATTCTTAAAATGTGAAGTATTTACCATCAGAACCACAATCAGCTGGAAATGCACATAAAAAGTAGCAAACAAAATATAGAGAACAGGTCTATGTGCAAAACAGGAAAACATTTTGTTTCAAATCTAAGAAAAATAATGGTTTCATGGGTTCTATCAAACCACTTAGAGTCATCTATGATTTGGCAGAACCAAAAGTGCTTTTATTTCAGGTTTTAGATAAAACAAATCCAAGCAGGCAGTTTAGGCAGGAATGATGCACATCATCTTTCTCTTTACCTCCCCTTTAGTTTCAAGTACAACACATCAACTGATCTGTTCAGGCTTTTTTCTTCAGCTGCAGATTCAGTTCCTTGGCTTTCTTCTACCTCCCACTTAATCACTTCCACCCACGAGTGGGATTCAAAAATTTTAACAACCAGTTCTGTGGGCGTGGCTAAGGTGGTAGGCGTTGCTTGGTGGTCATGTGACTAGGTGGACATGGCTTGGTGATCATGTGACTGGCTGGGCGTGGCCAACTCAACTTCACTCACATCGAGACACGCATCTCTTCGCCTGGCCTCTCATAACTGTGGGGATTCTGCAACAGTTATAAGTGTGAAAAATGGTCATAAGTCACTTTTTTCAGTGCCATTGTAATTTTGAATGGTCACTCCACACAAGCAAAGTACCAGCAAAGAAGGGAAAAAAACCTCCAGAGAGGTTCGAGACAGGAAGTCTAGTCCTGCCAAGAATGTAATAAGGGTTAACAGAGAGGCAGTTTCTGTAAGCAACACTAGAATGTTTCCTTCCTGCCTTCCTTACAGGACTAGGCCAGTAATTTCTTTTAACAACCGGTTCCCCAAACTGCTTAGAATGTTAACAACCGGTTCTAGCGAATAGGTGCGAACTGGTAGAATCCCACCCCTGCTTCCACCCAAATGAAGACACCTCTATCTTGTTCTGTGCATGGATTTAAAAAAATTAAAATCTGAGAAAGACATTTTAGTTCAGGCATGGAAGATCCAAAATCAGGATTCCGTACACAGAACAATTACAAGACATATTACATGCTTGTAGTGTAGAACTTCCACAGGCACCAGAAATTGGAGCAAAAAAATAAAAAATACAGCAAGATTAAAAGATGTATGAAAAAGAAAATGAAAAATGTAATGAAAAAAATCAGCAAATGCAGCAGTCAACACAGAATAATATTTTTTTTGAGTCACTAGTGATATATGTAAAGGAAGTATTGTGCTATCACAGGTCACTCCACCAGATCAAGATCTTGGAACCAGTAGCAGGATACATACATAAGATACTGTAACATTAGTTTAATATACCAACATATTTGAGGTTGCCCATATATCAGAATGTGTTAACATACCTTTTTTCTTAACTTTCCTCTGATATGACACAGCCTTTTTACACCATCGAAACATAATGCCTCCAGTCTGCCATTTCCCAACATTTTGATAACTTGGGCATATTCTGGAACACATGATTTAGGAATGTTATAATTTTATAAAAGTGTAACACAATTCTAGCTATTATACCAGAGAGAAACAGACACAAGATTTTAATACATGACAGTTGATTTTTAAAATCTCATAATATAAAGTAGCTATAGTTATTTGAATTTCTTTATCCATCAACTGACTCAAGGTTCACACATTGAAAAAGCAAAGTTTGTATGTAGATATTTCAGATTTGGGGTATGAGGATCTTAAAACAAAATGCATCATAGGATGCAGGGCTGATTTCAACCAAGACAGATGCTGTTCAACTCATTATTTCCCTCCCAGATTTAAGAAAAGTAGTAAAATACTGAGCCATATTCTGCCAAATATGAGGATCCAGATGGGTAACAACAAATAAACTAAATCCAGATAAGGTAAACATGTTGTAGGCTTATATTACCTTTTAAATAAAAGTATAATTTAAAAAATCTGTAAACCTAAGCTGGTACAGCCAATTGTTGGTTATTCTTAAAACATATTGTTATATGAGTATTCTATTCCCACCTTCTTTCAATCTCAATTCAAGCTGTTGTATTTGACTTTTTAAATTGCTTGGGATAATGGTATATGAGTTTACCTATTTATGCAGTGATATTCATGGGGTACTAGTATGTCAAAAAAATCAAGATGGCAGACATGGTGTTGTGATGCAAGCCCTGCTTGGTGTATGCGCCAACACTACACATACATATAAAAGCACTTTGAAAAGTATCTGGAAGCTTCAACTGGTACAAATGCAGATGTATGGGCAATTTGGGACTCCTAAAGCTCCATTTTTGCTGGCAGAGGGCTGCAGGAGGCTCTCATGGCTGAAAATGGGCCGGGGGGGAGCTGTACACGGCCCCCTCAGTCTTCCTTTTCACTGGCAGAGGGCTAGCAAAACAAACTAAAAGCAAAATTAACAGAAGGAGAAATGTTTCCTCTTTTGCATTTGAGCATCCAAGAAGAGACAGGAAATGAGAAAGGGAAAGACAAAGAAAAAGAAGGAAAGATGGGAAGGAAGGAGAATGAAGAAGAAAGGGGAAAAAAGGAAGAGAGGAAGGAAGATTATAATGAGAAGGAGGGCGAGTCTGAGGGAGGTTCTGCCTTAGCACTTGGCCACCACAAGTGCCCCCGACATGAGTGACATTGAACTGGCCACGGTCCCCCTGGGCCTCCAGGGTTAAATACAAGTATGACACCCCTGATCTAAGCTGAATGCCTCAATAAATCCTGTTTAGTGGAGGTGACAAAGAAGACATTTTAATAAGTTGAAATAAATATGCTTTGTCATTTATTCTAAAGTATTAATCAGGTTGTCACTCTGTAATTATTATATAATATAATTTCCTAGACTTTTCTATTGATGTCACTGTCACTGGGAAGATAAAGTCTAAATATCTGCCTTCCTGCACCTAGGTTTCTTGTTCAAGTAGAGAGAGAATAAAAAAAAGTGTGAGAATATGACATGTTTATAACACAGTTGTATAGTCTATGGGAAGGTAATTAGCTTCCTTTCTACTGAGGATATGTCACAGTTCAGAATATTTGGAAAGTAGCTTACGATTCCTTCATACTTCACTGTAATATAGCTCACTGGCATTTGAAATTTCATATGATGAACATGGCATTCTGGGTAAGTGAAAGTAAACTCCAGGCTTGTGAAATTATTTGAATCCATCAAAACTGAAACAGTAATCATAAGGCAGACCTGACTACGGAGTCACTGGATGAAAAAATGGAAAGAAAAGTGTACTAAAAAACACTTGAAGAAGTTTTGGTTATTCCTCAGGTCAAATGCTCCGCTGGTGTGTGGCCTTCCATTTCCTCACTTGTCCGTTTTCTTGCTTCTAAATAGTGACATACAAACTATTCTGGGTGACCACAATAGACAAAGACTTTCTCTTCTGTGTGGTGCCTTTTCTTCTTCTGTTAAAGACAATAATGCCCTGTTTAGCTCCCTCTCTTTCCTGCTAAAGATTTTGGCATTGCTCTATTTAGGAATTGATTGGGTACTCATTTGTCCTTCCCAAAAGAAATGTGAAAACTCCATCACTAAGCCCTGCATCAACATATTTTGCATGAGAGCTTGGGAAGTAATGTTTTTAATTTAAATCCTAACAGAGAATTAATTCTATAAAGATCAGATTAATTCTATAAAATCAGATTGAAGTATTGGAAGAATTAACTACTTATTTCTATAAAGAATTAATAGTTAATTCTTCCAATACCTCAATCTGATCTTATTTATGTCTCAACAGTTACATGTACAATCTAAAGATCAGGAATTCATGCGGTCCCTGTGACATACAACTTCAAGAAGGTTATCAGAGAAGTATTCCAACAGAAGATTAACACTCTGGGGATCCTTAATTTTCCAGTCCTGATTCACTAAAATCAATATTTTGTAAAGCTTCAGCTTCCATCATTTTCCTTCCCAAGCAAGCTGCCACTCTTTTGCCTTGTTATCATTTTGTCTTCATGTGGTCTTATTGTAATTCTAAATGCTGGGATTCTTATCTCCAATTCCAGGTGAGAATCTTCTGTAGTAGAGTCAGGAACAGGAGTACATAAAAAGAACAGCAAGGGCATATTCTTTCTGTCCTGAAACTGGGGAGCATTCCTTTTGGTTTTGTAATTGACAGGTTGCTCATCCCCACACTCCCTCGGAATGGCCAGATGAGCCCTGATGAGCCGGAATGCTTCAATGTATCAAAAGCCTTGGCAGCAGTTCAACAGCAAATATTGTAAAAGCGCTATTTGCTATTGCCATTGTAAAAACAAAAAACAAACCCTCTCCAATTCACATAGGTATTCATTCTCTCTCTCTCTCTCTCTCTCTCTCTCTCTCCCCGTCACACACATACACACAGAGGCACATCAGCCCAATGACAAGAAGACTGAAAATGCTCATCCTTTCAATTAAAAATAAAATTTATTATGCTAAACTAAGACATCTTATGCTAGGATTAAAATGTGTTCTACATTTTCTGTATCAATATGCTTTTTCGGAAAAAAAAACACGTTAATAGCCACATGACCTCTGTATCATGTGATATTATATTCATGTATTCATAGCTCTTGGTTTTGTTTTTTTTCATTCTGTGGCTTCCTGCAAGTCTAATACAAAATTTAAATTAATATTATGGCATCCAATGTAATACAGGAGTTGTATTAATTTTTTTATATGTAATGCTACTTAAAAAACAAAAATAAGATTTTAAGCTAAACTGAAATTTATCTTATTTCAGCTTAGGGTTTTAAAAGAATATGTCAACACCAAATAATAGAATACTTTATTAGAATAGAATACTTTATTGGCCAAATGTGATTGGACACACAAGGAATTTGTCTTGGTGTAAATACTTTCAGTATACATAACTGAATGACTGTGTACAAAGACACTAACTAGTTTTTTTAAAAAACTACAGACACTCAGATACGTACCAAATGCAGTATAGTACTTTCCTAAAAACGTTCTTTCTACTATATTTCTCAATTTATACACCGTAATCTACTCTCTGCAACTTTTACACATTTTTCAACAAAAGATGTTCTTTTTGTTAGAGTACATCACTTGGGGGAGGCCTAATTTTTCATCTATCAATACAATCTTCTGCAAGAACACCACAAATAAGTTTTCCTCCTACAGAACTGCTTAATGTTAGGAAATGAAAAAGCCAATACATCTTACCTTGTCCATCCTCTTTAAAAACCAATTCTCTTTTTTCAGATTCATTCTCATTCTTACCTCGTCTTCTGTTTTTACCTCCCTTTCCTAAATTGCAAAAAAATGAAAAAGTAATAATTTAATATAGGGTTCCCAACCCCCAGTCCATTGGGAACCGGGCTGTGCAAGTGGCAGGCGAGCGTGTGAAGCTCTATTTGCGCATGCCTGGGATTGCATACATGAAACCATACCCTCTTCCGCCCACCACCACTGATCCATGAGGCTGGAAAGGTTGAGGATTACTAGTTTAAGTATAATCTGAAACCTTCCAATAATACTATTGTTGATAAATCAGCGCTATGTTAGACCCTTTCCATAAAGTGTGAAATTATTATGATACATTAGATTCCCATACCAAATATAGTGGATATAGAAAGTCTACACACCCCTGCTAAAAGGTCAGGTTTTTGAGATGTAAAAAAAAAATCAGACTAAGATGAATAACTTCAGGACTCTTTCCACCTTTAGAACAACATGTAAGCTGTACAATTCAACTGAAAAACAATTTGTGGGGAAAAAATGAAAAACTAGAATAATGTGGCTACAGAACTGTTCACAGCCTCTTTTAAGAAGGAATGTGGCTGTGTTCAGAATCAACCAATCACATTCTAACTTACAGTAAACAATAGTCAGTACACACCTGCCCTCAAAGTGACTAATCACCACTCATATAAAGTTCAGCTGTGTGCTAAAAGGATTTTTCTGACATTTACTCAGTTGCCTCTTACAGCAAAAATCATGGTCTACAAAGCATCAAGACAATCTCATTGTCAGAATGTATCAGTCAGGAGAAAGGTACAAAAAATTCCCAAGGCATTGGACGTATCACGGGAACACATGAAAACCGTCATCAACAAATGGAGAAAATATGGAATAAGAGTGCCATTACGGAGAACTGGATGTTCCTCCAAAATTGATTAAAAAAAAAACAAGAAAACTGATCCAAGAGGCTGCTAAGAGACCTATAGCAACATTAAAGGAGCTGCAGGAATTTCTGACTGTATTTGCTGTGTACTACATGTGACTACAATCTCCTGTATTCTTCATATGTCTGGACTGTGGAGTAGGTTGGCAAGATGGAAGTCTTTTCTTACAAAGAAAACACCCACGTCTGGCTACATTTTGCAAAAACCTACATAAAGTGTGCCAAAAGCATGTGGGAAAATATATATGGTTTGATGAGACTAGGTTGAAATTTTTCACCATGATTCCAAAAAGTATGTTTGACACAAAAACAACACTGTGCACGTCATACCCAGAGTGAAGCATAGTTATGGTAGCATTATGCTTTGGAGTTGCTTTTCTTCAGCTGGAATTGGAGCTTTAATTAAGGTGGAAGGAATTATGAACAGTTCTAAATATCAGTCTATTTTGGCACAAAACCTTCTGCTAAAATGTTGAAGATGGAGAGAAATTTCACTTTTCAACACAATGACCCAAAGCTTGCTTCCAAATTAACAGAAGAATTGCTTCATTGCTTCACCAGAAGATAAAGTTTTGAAATAATCCAGCCAGAGCCCAGTCCTGAATCCAATTGAAAATCTGTGGGATGACCTGAAGAGGGCTGTTCACAGGATACCCTCAAAATCTCAGATTTGGAGCACTTTTGTAAGGAAAAGTGGACAAAGATTTCCAAAGAGGATGTGCCATGCTGATAAGACTTCTGCTGATAGACCCAGAAGTTTGTTGTCCTAAAACAGGGCTGTCAAAACTCCCACCCCTTGGGCTGGATGCGTCATGTATTGGCCTTGGCCATGCCCAGTTTAGTGAAGGGGAAAAAAGTCCCCATATGTTACATGATGCCGCCATCTTTATGCCACCATATCACTGTAAGTTATTTTCTTCCCCTAAAACATTTCTGCTTGTTTTTCAATTGAATTATACAGTATATTCTAAAGGTAGAAAGAATTCTGAAGTGATTACCCTGATCTGATTTTTTTTACATCTCAGGAACCTGGCATTTTAACAGGGGCATGTACTTTCTATATCCATCCTATATAACTGAATTAAGGTAATAGCAAAGAAAATACCAAAGATGCTTAAATTTGCAATTAATAGCAACTAGTACAGAAACAAAAGTTTAGATACTTACATGCAAATGTGGAATCACACTCTAAAATTAACCCAAGGTCAGATTTGCCTAGCCTAGTGTTACTGAAAACAGGAATACTTAGCCTATAGGATGAGAATATCTGGAGATTATGGAAGTACAACTTCTCAGACATTTTAGATCAGTAAAAAGTATCTTAATCAATTACTAGGCAAGCTGTATACAACCTAGAATTTATCTGGTCCTGCCTTAGTCATGAAGGCCAGCTGGGTGACCTTGGACCACTCAATCTCTTTCAGTCCAATTCTCCTCACATGGTTATTGGAGGGAAAATAGAAGGTGGATATGTTCTAAAAGCAGGATATAAATAATTTTTGGTTCACAAATATTTGTAAATCCTGGTATATTTTTCTACTTTGCTGTGGAAATGAAAAAAAGTAAACCAGGGTGCTTTCTAGATATTTTGTAGGTATGCTTGTGTTTGCACACACATGATATACAAGTGTACACATATGTAATTAAGAACAGCTTCAATTCTGAATGTGTTAAAAAATAAACCACACTTTAGTGTTCACAGTAAGGAAATGCCATTTTCAATATATTAAAATTATATAAGAAATCAGTTATTCAGTGTTTCATCAATGTGCGATGTTTTAAAATATCCCAAGGAAGTGTATCCTAATAATAAACAGTAGGAATATTCTCTAATTTAAGCAGTTCCGAAAGGTATTGACAAAAATGAGATACACAAGGTCAAAAAAGAAACCCAGTTATTGATTATCAAGCATGAAAACAAAACAAAAATAGTGTCTAAAAATCAAGGCCAACCTATGATTCATAAAATTAAACAGCCTCTTATTTGTGTTAAATGTGTCGTATCAAAACGAGAAAGAATCAGCCTGTAACAGTTAGCTTAGCAGTTAGCTCCACTTTATTAAACGGAGACCTTTGTCTGAGAATTATGTAGCAGCGCGTAACTGAAAGGAGGTCTATTAGTTGAAGCAGTTTTTATTAGTTTATCGGTCAACTATTTTAAGAAAAGGCTTCAGCCAGAAACAAGGGAGAAGGCGCGGGGCGGAACACGTGGAGAACCGAAGTCCTAGCACAAAAGCCTTTGGGTCCAAGAAAGCACCGAAACAGCTAGGTCGATGCGGCGACTGGTGCCTTCCCCTTCGGGCGGATTCATCTACAGAGAGAGAGAGAGAGAGGAGTCGCGTGGAAACCAAACGGGAGGGGAGTCAGAAGGCCTCACCTTTGTTTTTCGGCATGGTGGCAGCTACCAGTCAGCGGACACAACCTTGACAAGCCCGAACGAAAAGGTAGGAGCCCTTTTTTACACTGCTGGCTCAGAGCAAAAGGAGAAACTGACAGCGGGACGTCGCGCAACAGTAGAAAAAAGACGATGCGGCCTCCGGCAGAGCCCTCTGAAAGGAAAGGCGGAAGACAATCTCGGCCCCAGAATGCGCTTCGCGTTCCCTCGATTTCTTCCGGCAGCTCGCAGGCCTTTCTCGCGCCCTCTTCCGGTGGGAGGAATTACTGCTGAAGAAGGCGGACCTTATGAGCTGATAGATCGAGGTGTGGGGTGTGACGTTTTCACTAAAGTGGGGTGTCAAAGGGGCGTCTCGCGGGGCGGATACTTCACGGAAACACGATTTGGAAATTCATTCCACTTAATTCAATGGGGAAAGTATTACTGCCTATTTACTTGGTATCATAATAGCATCAGAAATAGCCGTGAGCCTTCTTCCAAACAGTGATGCCTGATTCATTACTGCAATTTTACTAACTCGTCCTTTTGCCATCAGCCCGTTCCTGGATTGCAAAAATTCAAACAAGTGTCGACTTTCTGTATCTCTTTACTATTGCTGCTTCGCAGCCTGGATTGTTAGCCTGATTAGCTCCCTCCCCGCTTTCTCTAAAAAAGTAAGATCTGTTCGAGAAATGCAGGACTTTGAAGATGTTTGTATTCCATAGTATATTGTAAGCTACCGAAATTAAGGCGACTTTGGGTAGGCTGGAATGAACTTGTATATAAAGTGGGTGTATATCCTTTCTCAAATTTCTAAATTGAATATATTTAATGCTCTCCGTGTTTAAAATTTTCCTCACAAAGATTTTAGGCATCAGGTTGTGTATATTCTATGTATATGAAGAGGTTATTTCCTTTCCGTTCTATCAGTAATTATAATTTCCTAGACCCAATTTGTTCCAAAAGATCATGTACCTGGTTGTTGTTTTTTAAATTCTGTGGTATGTTATCTGCACCTGTTGGGTGAAAGAGAACAAGGCTGACTTTTAAGTGCTGCAACTACAGAACAGTATAAACCAGATAATTAATCTAGACCAGGAACTAAAGGCTGTGCGAGTCTTCCCCCAATGTAGTAGATCTATGGATTGGGGACGACCTTGAGAGAGAAAGCATGAATGGCATAAGCAACTGAAGAGAAAGTGCATGCTTAAAATTGGCTGGTTCCAATCAGGTATTCATACATCAGATATGCAAACTTCCAAAATATTTCAACCCCTGGAGTTGAAATTTGTTCCTCAAACCTGCTTGAAATAAGAGTTTTATACTATGGCAACAGATATAACTGAATGGGAAGACCTATAGTTGTAGATAAGTATTATCATTGCCATTCTATAAGAAGAAAACATCCTAAAGTATGAGCTTAAGCTGAATGTTATGCTAACAGGATAGTTGTTCTAGCATTGGTAGTTATGAAAATCTTTGAAAGGCTAGTGTTGTCCCACCTGAAAACCATCATGGATCTGCTGTTAGATCCCATGCAGTTTGCATACCAAACAAATGGATCAACAGATGATGCTGTTAATATGGCTCTGCACTGCATCCTACAACACCTTGAATCTCCAAATACCTATGCAAGGGTTCTCTTTGTAGACTTCTGTTCAGTATTCAATACCATCATTCCAGACATCCTTCTAACTACATTAAACCAGCTAGTGGTACCTGAACACACTTGCAAGCTGATCATAAGCTTTCTAAAAGACAGGAAGCAGCAGGTGAAGCTAGGCAGAATCACATCTGATACCTGTACAATTAGCACAGGGCCCGCCCAAGGCTGTGTGCTTTCTCCACCTTTCTCTATATACCAATGACTTCATTTCAAACAATCCATCTGTTAAAATACAGACATTTGCAGATGACACAACAGTGATTGGTCTCATTCGAGATGACAAATCCGCATATAGACAGGAGGTTGTACAACTTGCCTCGTGGTGTAACCGGAACAATCTGGAACTGAACACACTCAAAACCTTAGAAATGGTGTGTCATGCACCTGGTGGAGACTGACTCTAAGGAAGAGGAACAGCCAACAGGGAGGGGAAGTGTGGCTCCAGAGGTGGTGGCGGAGGCTGGGGAAGGGCAGAGGCTGGCTGAGCAGTCAGAGGATGACCCAGGCCCATCCCCTATCCATCCTAGGGCACGCAGGGAGGAGAGGATCAGGGAAAAATGTGGTCTACTTGGGAAGAGAGGGCCATGATCCTCTTCATGGGTTGCAATTGTGAGATCTGCATAAAAGGTTGGACCTGCATGCTAACATGCTGGAGACAAATTAGTGTTTTATTCCTAAAGAAGGTTTATCTTGGTTGGTGTTCTTCCAACGGACTGTACCTGGTTATCTTCCTGAAGTTGGCAATTATCTATCCTGGTCTGTCGAACTTTATACACTGCTGTTTGTTTTTGGTTTTGCTTCGCTATCAGCTCTTTGAATTTGAACTGTGTTCTTTTCCTTTGAAATGTTATTTTGAAATACAGTAGTTTACTCCACTGTGAACAATTAAACAGTGAAGCCAAGTTGAAGGCATTAAAGGACTTTTAATTACGTTTTGGGTTTTGTTATATTTCTGATATACTCTAGGTCATCACAAGGTGGTAGACTTTAGAAGAAACCCTCCCATACTACCACCTCTTAAAATACTAGACAGCACAGTATCAACAGTAGAAATCTTCAAATTTCTAGGTTCTACTATATCACATGACCTAAAATGGACACCTAACATCAAAAACGTCATAAAAAAAGCACAACAAAGAATGTTCTTTCTGCGCCAACTCAGAAAGCTCAAACTGCCCAAGGAGCTGCTGATACATTTCTACAGAGGAATTACTGAGTCTATCATCTGCATCTCTATAACTATGTGGTTTGGTTCTGCAACCCAACAGGACAGACACAGACTTCAGAGGATAATTAGGACTGCAGAAATTTTTTTTTACTACCAACCTGCCTTCAGTCGAGGACCTGTATACTGAATGAGTCAAAAAGAGGGCTGTGAAAATATTTACAGACCCCTCACATCCTGGACATAAACTGTTTCAACTCCTTCCTTCAAAATGACGCTATAGAGCACTGCACACCAGAACTAGACACAAGGACAGTTTTTTGCCCAAATGCCATCACTCTGCTAAACAAATAATTCCCTCAACACTGTCCAACTATTTACAAAGTCTGCACTACTATTACTATTAATTTTCTCATCACTCCTTATCACCCATCCCCTCCCACTTGCAACTGTATGACTGTAACTTTTGTTGCTTGTATCCTTGACTCTTGAGGAATGTATCTTTTCTTTTATGTACACTGAGAGCATTTGCACCAAGACAAATTCCTTGTGTGTCCAATCACACTGGCCAATAAAAGAATTCTAATTCTAATATTTGTTTTCTAGAACTATTATTTGTAAAGTAAAAATTAAGTTGTGTAAATACAAAGCAATTCTAACAGCTGAATCCATGAAGCACATAGCAATATATCTATAGTGCTGTGTCTGTCTGAATAAAAACTAACTTTCCAAAATTTAGCCACATTTTTTGTTTTGTAAGAGGAGACACATTAACTGAGAAAATAGTATTCTATATGTAACTTTCTTTCCCTAATTCTGCTCACTAAAGACAGTTCTCCCTGGCTTTCTGCAAAGGACCTTCTTTTGACCTTTTCTCTTGTAACAAAGAGCACCATTGCTTTTACCTTTTGCAGATGTTAAAGAAACACCAGCCCAATTTTAGGCATGTCTTCTTAAGCATTCGATTTTTTTCTTCCTCTGCTTAACTTTCATGTATGTTTCATGACTTGTCATAGAAAGCCCTCAATATTGCTTGGTAACTACATAAAACTCAAATGTATAGATCCCTATAGTAACAAACATGTTTATTAAATTCTTGTAACTGTCTATACAACTGCTTTGCAAGGGACACCTAGAAGAAATAAAATGCTTCATAAATGCATTATTTTCAAAATTTATTTGCATTATCACTTGATTTTCTTTTGAAGACTACAAAACCTTTCTTGACAAGAATACAAGCAATAATATCCTTCCAGGCTCATACGTGGTATTGTTCGGAAATAGGATTACACATATATATTCTAAAAACACAGAGCTCTCCATAAAATAATCAAAAGTATCCCATACTTTTTGCCTAGTTACCAGCATTTTAGTTGCAATGCTAATGAAAGCATCTGATGCAACTTTAATGTTCTGTCTGAAAGATATAGTACAGTTAAATATGTTACTATATCTTATATTTGCATGCTATGCTTATGAAATCAATATAAAGAATTATTGTACAGAACCATATAAAAATATATATCTATATATTAAAATTTCTTAAATAGTTACCAGCCGCATTGTCATTAAAATGGTAAAATAACTATATCCCTTTAAAAGTGGACTTTACTTTTGTTTAGGTCAGAAGTATCAAGATACCTATACCTCAGCATCAAGATTAAAAGCTACTCATTACTAATCAATAATTTATATGCTGCAAAACTTATTATCATAAAAAGTGATTTAATTGATCTATATCTATATAAGGTACCTAAATAAAATGTATCAGCGTTTCTCTCTTTATGGCCTGCCCCTGCCCTTGTTTGGCTAAAAGTTCTCATTTTTAATTTATTAATTTAATTTTTTTTATTTGTCAATTGCTTACAAGATAATAGGTATAAGTAAAAACATAGTTATGAATACATGGATACATATAAGAAAAATTAAAAATATAAAAGAAACAATAGGACAAGGACGGTAGGCACATTGCGCTTATGCACACCCCCTACAGACCTCTTAGGAAAGGGGTGAGGTCAATAGTAGACCTCTTCTTTTCTTCTGCCTCCTGGAAATGATTACTTCAGTAACGTTTCAAACTGTGTGGCAGAAGAGGGTAGTAAACCACTATATTTTACCAAGAAAAACACCTGGATAAAGGGATTGTTGATATGCCAGATGATCCCATCAAGTTGGATGGCACACAACATGCTACTGAAGAAAAGCTGAAGACCTTTTGGAGTACCAAAGATATTTATGATGCAATTAGATTAAAGTTTTCTGAAAAATTAGTGCCGATATTGCCATGCAAGAAAAAAATTCAAAGTCTGTAAAGAAAAAATTAGGCAGCCAACGTGGAATTTAAAAACATGACTATGGGAAAGAATAAACTATGCATCAACATCTTCGGCATCAGGAAATTGAAATGGACATTGGGCACTTTCAGTAAGAAAATGTTTATTATTCTGGACATGAAATACTAAGTGGAAAGTGTTTGCTTTCATAGTCAGGAAAGATGTAACAAAGACAGTACTTGATGACTGAATATCAATTAGATTCTGCAGACAATATATAATGATTATTCAAGTTCCATTGATGCAGAAGAGGAAGCTGATGCATTCTATAGCCAAGTTCAATCAAAAATCGACATAATGTTCAAACAAGATGTGTTGTTTGTGGTTGCTGACTGGAATGCCAAAGTTGAAAACATCAAGGAAGAAAATGTAGTTGGACTACATGGCCTAGGGAACAGAAATGAAGCAGGCGACTTTCCCATGCCTGCCAACCCAATAATTTCTTCCTGCTGATACATTCTTCAAACACAATAAGGACTATATACACATATATGAGCACATCGAAAACAAATTGAGTATATTATTGGTATAAGGAAGAGATTGGTTATAGAATGCAAAAATGCGGCCAAGATCTGATTGTGGAACAGATCACAAACTGTATGTAAATTTCAAATCAAGCCAAAGTGAAAGAACAAAGTTAACCAGTTTCCCTGATATGATTTTGAGTATACACTCATTGTTTTCAAGGGGCAACATCAGGAATTGTTCTGAAGGCATGTACCTTAATAGAAAACCAGAGCAACTATGGAATGATGTAAAAGAAGCTGATGTTTGAAGGAATGTGGAAAGGGACTGTCAAAGACCTGCCCAGAAGAAATCAAATTGGAATGATGTCATTGCAGATGGTGGGTATTTCCAAGAAGAGAAGAGATAACAAAGCCAAGAAAGATAAATATCTGGGTGGAACATAACAAGAATTTCATAGAACTGTTAAAATAGAGGATCAGTATGTTGTAAGTCATACACAATGGAAACAGAAAATGAAGAACATTTTTCCAAAAAGATCTCCCATCTCCAATGTCAGGATATTGTATCCATTTCCTAAAGGAGTACCAATCGACAGACAGTAATTGATTAAATGTAGTTCACACAGAAGTGGAACCTGTATAAATAAGGGTTATCAACATCTAAAATATTTTAGAAGAGATACACTGTTTACAAGAACTTCCAGTTCTAGAAGATAGATCATTACCAAGTGGAAGGTCACAGGAATTGATGGAGTATCTAGAGAAATATGACAAACTGCAGAATACTTACCAATATTAAGGAGATTTAAAGTGTGCAAACTATTGCACAATATTCTTGATTTCACATGCTGGTAAAATAATGTTTAGAACAGGGGTATCAAATTGGTGGCCCACGGGCCGGATGCATCACATGCAGGCCAGGCCCACCCCAGCTCTGCGAAGGGGGGAAAACAGCATAAAACATCATGTGATGGCAACGTGACACTACAGGTTTGACACCTGTGGTTTAGAATCATACATTGATTAGACTTTTACATAGAAAAGGAAATGTTCAAGTTCATTTTTTAAAAGAGCAAGAACAAGAGACGTTGTATTTATATTGAATAATTTAGAAAGCCAAAAAGTCAATTTATGTCTCAGTGGTTAGGGAAAAGTCTTTGACAATGCTATCATGTCAAGCTATGAAATGTCCTTAGCTTTGACTATGAATAATAAATCAGCAGTTAAGAAATATAGTATAGCAATTCAAGTTTCTAATGAAATTCTCACTGCATATATATTAAATGGTTATTTAAGTTCTAAACCACATTTTTAGTGAGTGATGAGGTAATTTTAATGTTTTTATATGAAATCTCAAAAGAATCTAAAAATTAAAAATAACTATCAACGAATGTTGGGGTCTATAATCTTTCCCTCTTTTTTGTTATAAAAACACAGGGAGTATAGATTATCTAAAGGCAAGAATTAAAAAAAGAAACACTATTTTTCTATTCTGTTATTAAGTAATATTTTAGAAAACATGAATCTGGACAGGCTTAAACATTCAACATATTATTTAGGATTAACTAGTTAAAAATCACTTCCAATTTATAAATAAAATTTGGTTGATACTAATATTCCCAGCCAAGGAAGACAAAAGTCACAGAAGACATTGAAATAATAGTTTCCTTTTTAACTTCAAACTTATAAACTATATAATTTCTGATGAGTTATACTGATTTACAATTTATAGAAAGTCTTAAATTATTTCTGAGGAATAACGAGTAATGGAATAATTTACCAATTTTAAAATACTTTAAAAAGGAACAAAATACATTACCTATTTTTCTTAAGGAACTTGTAAAATACAACTGAGCTATTGTAAATATATCAATGTTTAAGTGAACTGTTCTTTTTCTTAAATATAATATGCATAAATGATTGCTTTATAAAGTAAAAGTGTTTGTTTCCTGTCTAGGAAAAGTAAATCATTTGTTTTAGGGGCAGATTAAATTTTATTGTTAAGATGACATCTAAAATTTCCAGTGCAATCCAGTTGGAAAAAAATCTGCTTAATTATTTATAGGTAAATTCCAATGTGCTCACCTTCACGTTCTCTAACTATTACATTTAAGATCATAAAATAACCTAGGACTATTAATGGATTACATATTGAATATAACTATATATGCTATTATTTTGTAGAGAAGATATATTTATAAATGTATATAGACATGTGTGTATGTGTATGTATATGTATTATACACACACACACACACACACACACAATTTCCTGCAGAATATTAAATAAGAATCTTCTAAGAAACATATTTTGTTAAATATAAATCTAACTGCATGAGTCCAATGTGAATAGCATCTTTAAAACATCTAATAAAATCCCTCCGTTTGGAAGATGGTTATTAAAAATATTGATGCACACAGAGATAGAACATTTTTCCTGCAATACAATAAAATATAGTAGCAAAGTGAACTAAAATAAGTGGAGCAGCAGACTAATACAAATAATGGATTCATTTTCTCAAGGTTTAAGATATAAAATTGCCTTATATGTCTGCTCTTTTGTTATTAAGAAAGAAGCAAAGATTTGTATCTTCTCCCAAAATGGAATGAGCAAGTTGTGAAATTTCTGGAGCTTCAGCAACAACATTGAGCATTTCAGCATCTTTTTTAGATTTAACCCATGTCCAAAAACAACTAGTGCAAATGTTTATATACATCAAAATAAGGCATCCATTTGAAAAAGCTCAACATTATATATTTTTTTACAATTCTAAAAGTACCTCATAACTTATTTTTATGTAGTTGTGAATTGCACCATAGATGCTTTAGGGAAATCATGGCAAAGTAAATGCAATAAACACATTAGGGTTGAAAACTATTGATGTTAAAAATGTTAAAAATAGACATATTAGAATATTTCAGCAGATAAAACCATATACAGGTAGTCTTTGACTTACAATTGTTAATTTAGTCACTGTTCAAAGTTACAATACTGAAAAAATGGACTTACAACTATTTTCTCATTTATGACTATTGCAGCATGGTCATGTGATCAAAATTCAGATGCTTGGCAACCAGCTCATACTTATGACCATTGCTGTGTCCTAAGGTCATGTAATCACTTTTTGCAAACTTTTGACAAGCAAAGTCAATGGCGAAGCCAGATTCACTTAACCAAGTTATTGACTTATCAACTGCAGTGATTCACTTAACAACTGTGGCAAGAAAGATTGTAAAATGAGGCAAAATTCACTTAACAAATGTTTCGCTTAACAACAGAAATTTTGGGCTCAATTGTGGTCATAAGTCAGACTACCTGTATTTCCATCCATCCAAATCTAGGCAATAGCTCATGCCCATGTATTTCGTGTGGAAAATCCAAATCATATGAACAATCCCCATGTTACTAGACCCTGTCATGAAAAGCTGTCTTTAACTATAAAATATCACCTATTTAAGATCTGTCATTGCAATTAAATCTTGAGGCAACATTTATCAAAATTTAAAAATATTTTCAAGCATGACAGAAGAAAATAGCATTTTAAAACATCAATATTTAACCAACAGTAAGAAATAAAGGCCCCTTGGTGGCTAATTAGCAGCATCTATACAAGCAAAGACTCATTTAAGAACTAGTGTGTGAAAAGGATTTTAACTTACAGTACAAATAAAAGTGTGGTAACCTGAAACAGTTGCATGAGTCTGTAAGGCAGAAACATGAGATGAAACTCTGGAAAGTACTAAAATTAATATGAACTAAAAGGAAGACAAATAAACTATAGGACCCAGTGATTAAAGAGATCACGAACATTTGATAGAAAAAAGATATATTTCATTTCCTACTTTTATCTACCACATTGATCTGAGACTAACTTATTGGCAAAATGCAAGACAATAAAGAAATATTACTACTGTATAAAGAGTAATTTCTTTGGCAGAATTCTGATGATCCACCCAAAATTCTTCATTTCTTCAGAATATTATATTTTGCAATACATAAAAGTTCGATATCTCATATATCTGATCCCAAAACAATTTGAAGAGGTGAATTTTCCCCAGTTCCCATGAAAACAATAAAACAACATAAGTAGTGCCATTATGTTCAGTATGTGTGTTTAGAATTGCAATCTTAGCATCTGATTATACAGCATTCTTCAAGATTGTAATCTACGAACATGCCAAACTTTGAAGGCAGAGCCACTAAAAACAGTTGAAGACACTGGGACACATTTCATCCAATTTGTACTCAATGCTGCTTTTGTCTATAGTGGCCCAAGTATAACAGACCTGCTGTTAATTTTTAGCCATAAAAATGATCTAACATTATTATTGGAGAATGCACTACTTCAGTGCATACTACTTAAACATTACATTTCTGCCCTCTCCATTTTCTGATCAGCACTGTGCAATAAATACTATTGCTGCTTAAGTAACAAAGATAAACCACAATTAACATCAGTTGAACCAAAGTTGAACTATTTAGCCATAGTTTCTGAGGTTCACAAAAAGACACTCATCATGACAATATGCAGACCCTTTTTGCTTCCATACATAGCAAACCACAAGTGATTAAAATATGCCATTTTACCATTAAATGCTTTAACAATTCCCAAGATTTCTAATAATTGTGTCCATGGGAAAATCCAAGCAAGGAAATACACATTCACAGAATTACATTCAATAGCTGTTTAACAGTCAAGCTGTTTTAGAGATGTCCAATCATACTGATTAATATTTTAATCAGATTTAATTGTCAAATCAATTAGTCTAAAGAGAAGGAAACAGTACATAAGTGTATTGTTAGGAAAAATATACAAAACATATAAAACACTGGATGGCACAAATTACACAGTGCTAATATAAACATATTTTAAGGTAAGTGCTTAACATAAACTGTCCATCCTTACATGTATCAAATAATTTTAAAGGGAAAAAAGCATTCCCTATAAAAATAATGCTATATGGTGCAGAGTGCTTTTTCAGTGTATCTATTGTAACAAGAGGTCTTCATAATTATTTCCATTAATAGTTTTTTTCCACTGATTCCACTTTTTTCTCCACTTGAAGGAAAATGTTTTGTCTTTAACAGTTTTCAAAAGATGAAAGCAGGAGCAGCAGCATAACAGTACCAGCTGGAAGAGTGTGCTTTCAGTTTATTGGGGTATGTGCTATCTGTTGCCATAATTTGTGCTATCAACTAATTGTGGTACCATTTTTTTTACATGAGGTCATTTCACAGAGCAGTTGAGGTAATTTTTTTTACTCCTCTTCTTTGAGCAAGTGTAGAGCGACCCACTGGCTCCAAAACTGGGGACTGATTGCGATTCAATGCTGAGTATGTAGCTGCCATGGCACCCTAGGAATAAATTTTTAAAAAAAATTGTGAATCCTAGGTTAAATGATCACATTACAGAGTTTAAACAAACAGTAGAATTTAATAATGTAGAGTTTTAATATTTAAAAGACACAAACATTATTTATCTTAATCTACAGTGCAATATGTCTCTGCCTTTATGTTTTGCGCCTCATATCCATGCAGGCAGGAACGTGTATTAATAACATTGCCCAATCATTTAAAACATTAGTTGACAGGGAATGTCCAACATTCTAGCAATGTATACTTCTCAACTCTCACAAATGTGATTTAGATTTGCTCTTAATAATGCTAACTGCAGTTCTCAAATAGGAAGAAATTGTGTAAATAACAAAATAACCATTATCTTGCAGAAGCTACGATTGGTTAGATCAGCAGTTGCCAACCGGTGGGCCGTGAGAAAATTTTGGTGGGCCGCAGAGAAATCTCACCCCCACAGCACCCACAAAGCAATTAATCCAGGCTGCACAGAAACATAAGGCTGCTCTGCCCACATGGCCCATGGGACCCCTCCCTGCCCACTCACTCCTCACCTGGCAAACTTGCCTGCTAAATTGCTATTTTTCCTTTTTCCAACCATCATCTGTTCTGCTGTGCCGGGAGATTTAAATTAGCTAGGAAGCAGGAAATGGTTGGATTTCTTGATTTCTGGCTAGTCTTTAGATCTTCGGCACTGCTTTTAAGCACCGCCGAACCTCCCTTAGGACCAAAGGTTCTGTTATTCAGAGCAGACTCACGGCAAGCAAATTTGAGAGACTGAGCTAGCCGATGGCAAATAGATCACTGAATGATTCTGTGAGCAACTCAATCTGCCTGCCTGCTTTGCCTGGTTTTGGGTAAAAGTTGCTCTTTTTTTATAAAATCAAAATTTACATACATGGTGTGTTGTGAGTTAATTTTATGAGTTTGCTTGCAAGCAAAGTTTATGTGACAGACTGAGCTAGCCGATGGGAGATAGATCGATCTCTGGATGAATCTGTGATTCTGTGAGCAACTCAATCTGCCTCCCTGCTTTGCCTGATTTTTAGGTAAAACTTGCTCTTTTTTAATAAAAAAAATCAATATTTATATAAATATTTATAATATTTACATACAAGCCATGCCCAGCCAGTCATATGACCATCAAGCTGCACCCACAAATTAGGCCACAAAACCAGTTAGTGGTCCCTGGGTTTTAAAATTAAGAGTTTGGTGGTCCCTGAGGTCCAAAAGGTTGGCAACCCCTGGGTTAGATGGTACTGCATGTGCCTTTAGTATCATTGGTTACTAAGTATTCTGATTTCTAATAGACATTTTACATTTTATCCTATCACATTAGATTTGGAAAAAAGAAAAGTATGAAGTATGTTAGACAAATTTTGTAGTTTTATTAAGCCTGTATGTAATAGCAATAAATTGCCTTTTGAAAAACACTGAAAGAACTTATTTATATGCTGTTCCTGTTGCTGACATCTCTGAATGGTATATCTATGTGACATTGGTAAATGTTAAAAATAAAAAAACTAATAAGATCAAATCAAAGTACATCTCTTTATATATAACAGTGGGAACTTCAATTATATTAGACAAATACTCTAAAGCCAAAATGAACTATATTAAAATGTCCCAACCTAGCAGGGCTTGCTGGTGTAGCCAAGTTTTAATAGCCTTCCTTTTAAGCCAATAGGGTAGGATCGACTTGCTTGACAGAAGCAAACTATTACTGATTTTGTTCCTTAATGATGAAATGTTTATTATAGGGAAAATGCCTTCAATGGATCATTGACTAAGAAAATCTTAAATGTACAAATTTCAAAGTATTGCTAGAAATGGAAATGGTAGAAATACAGGTAGTCCTTGTTTAACAATGGTAATTAGGACTGGAATATCAGTGGCTAAGCAATGCCATCATAAAGCATGATGTCACATGATTGTGCTGCTTACTGATGGCATTTCTAGCAATCTCTAGTTACTGTTAAGTGAGGGCAGTGCAGGTTTTCAGTGGGAACTTAATGTGATCATAACTTTCTGCTTCCCTATTAACTTTGCTTGTGGGAAACCAGCACTGCAGGTTACAAATTGCGATTAAGTTACCATGGGACACCATGATGTTCAGAGATACAGGCTGGTTGCTGAGTGCTCAGATCACAATCACATAGTCAAGGGATGCTGCAAAGGTCAGAATTTCAAGGACCGATTGTAAGTGCAACTCATGCAACATTGTTGCTAGTTCAAATAGTCATTGAACACATTTTTGTAAAATTAGGACCTCCTGTAATGGAAAAAAATAAAGGGGCAAACTGCAGATTAAAATATAGTAAACAGAATGTTTATTCATTTTAACTATTTTTATACCTCATTCCAATCTCAAAGGATTATACAAAAGAAATGTTTGCATATTGCAAATGAATTCCCTAATTGATGCTCCCATGTAGTCATTCACTGAGACCAAAAACATACTGAAATAAAACAGTTTTGTTTCTAGAAAAAACACAACAGGGTCTGTCTTCCTTTAAAGAAAAGTTCCACAAAATGGGAGTTACTGCAGAGAAGCCTGCCATCTTATCCACTTCCATGTACATTCTTAGCAGGCTTTCTCTATATGACCAGAAGAGATATCCATTCTGACAAAATGTTGTCCAATATATGCCATTCGAGTGCCATAAAGGCCTACTGTACTGGACACGCCTACTCTAAGGAATAATATGCATAGGGTTGTTGTTTTTTACCTTCACAAGATGTGGAGCATCTTGCCTGTTGAGTTGGTACTGAGGCAACTGATCACAGTGAACTATCCATGGGTGCCTTAGAACTTGAACAGCAGTCAGTCTCTGATGCGGGTCAACATGAAGCATTTGTGAAACTAAGTCCTGTAAACAATTAGTTAAATTGCACAAGTTTTATAAAATAATAAAATGATGGATTTGATTCAAATAAATTAAACAACATTTCAGATTAGAAAGGATTCCTCAATCCTTAGGTGGACATTTTGTAGTCAGGGTAAGATAAAATTTTATAATGTACTTATATTTGCTAAAAAAAACTTCTATTTTTTCCCTTTCCAATTATTTCTTTCTGTGCTTTTGTTTATTTATTTACAGCTTATGCTTTATTAGCTTGTATTTTTATGTAAAGCTTTAATAAAAATGTTTTTTTAAAAAATGCCCTGGTAAGGTATCAATACTTAATTGCATAAATGGAGATAAGGGATATAAAAAAGGAAACAGGAAATAAAAGAACCAAATACTGAGCATGGGAATTATGACCTATGACCTATCACTTGGTTGTCTGTATGTACACTGAGAACTTAAGACACTGGAGACAAATTCCTTGTGTGTCCAATCACACTTGGCCAATAAAAAAATTCTAAATAGAAACTGGGAGGCTATGAGTTCTAGTCCTGCCTTGCACAAAACCAGCAGCTCACCTTAGGGCAGTTACTCACTCTCAGCTCTAAGAAGGCAAACCAGTTCCAAAATTTTTGCCATGGACTAGTTGCCAGGCTAGTCTTGAAGGCACATGACTTGAAGACACAAAAAGCAAAACAACCTCCCCCCCCCAAAAAATACACTCATAAAACATCATGCAACTTGCTATTATTATTACTTATTGATTTTATATCCTGTCTTACCTAATGAGCTCTCAAGAACAATAATTTACATACCTTTGCTGTTTCTGAGACAGAGTTCCAGTATCCACCACTGAGAGAAAACTTCCCACTACCTATTCGTGCCAAAATTTCTTCTGGAGTATCATCAGGACCATTTGCAAAGGGAGTATACCTAAACAAAGACAATAGTTTTAACATATTTTTTTAAAAAAGCTCTGCTCAATTCCATTATTATCAGAATTGATGTTCTAAATTATTATAGGTAGCCTTGACTTACGACCATAATTGAGCCCAAAAATTCTGTTGCTGAGACATTTGTTGAGTGAGTTTTGCCCCATTTTATGATCTTTATTGCCACAGTTTTTAAGTGAATCACTGCCATTGTTAAGTTAATAGCACGGTTATTAAGTGAATCTGGTTTCCCCATTGACTTTTTCAGTCTCAGAAGGTGATCACATGGCTCTGGGACACTGCAACTGTCATAAATGTGAGTCAGTTGCCAAATGGCTGGATTTTCATCATGTGACTATGCTGCAATGGTTGCAAGTGTGAAAAACAGTCATAAGTCACTTTTTCAATGCTGTTGTAACTTTGAACAGTTACTAAATGAATTGTTGTAAATCAAGGACTCCCTGTATTTAATATAAATTGTAAAAATAATTATTAATGAGACTATGTAACTCAGGGCTGTCAAGCTCGATTTTAATGAGGGCTGCATCAGGGATGTGTTTGACCTCGGGGGCAGGGTGGGCATGGCCAGCTTGATGTCACTCATATTGGTGGCACCTGTGGTGGCTCAAGTGCTCTGCCAGAGAAAATGGGCTGCTGAACTCCGTTTTTGGCCCTGATACCTTCCTGCAGCCTTCTGCCAGCAAAAACAGAGCTTGGGTGGGCCTCACATGCCCCTCAGGCCCCGTTTTTGGCTGCAACAACCTCATGTAGCCCTTTGCCAGCGAAAACAGAGCTCCATTTTTGCTGGCAGTTGCGGCCAAAGACAGAGGCTGAGGGCCACATGCAGCCCTCCCGAGCTCCATTTTCACTGGCAGAGGCACTGTGGGTCAGTCCTTTGCTGTTTCCAGGGTGGCTCTGCGGGCCAGATCTAAGCACCGCACAGGCCATCTGGTCCCCAGGCCTTGAGTTTGATGTCTCTGATGTAAGTGCTAACCAATTACTAACATGAATAAAAAGCTTTCCAAAAAGAATTAGGAAACAAAAGTAATGTATTATATTTAGCAGTACTAAAACTGTACTTAAAATAAACAGTTTAGCCCAGTTAATGGTTGCAGACATGAAGATTTTAGCAATATATAGATAGAGGACAAAGTAAATTGATACAAACATACCCAGTCAACATTGTATATAGAAGGACACCAAGGCTCCATATGTCGCATGCTACATCATACCCTTGCCTTTTTAATACCTATGGAAATCATGTTATTAATTAAATCATAAAGAAAAATCAATTATCTTAATTGTAAATATTACTTTTGTAAAAGTTACTTTTCCTACTGAATCACTGAGAAACTGAAGTTGCTGTATCCATTATAAATTATCCAATACAAATTGGATAATTTAATTTAATATCTGAATATTTTAATAAACAATATTTGAATTATTAAATCAATTTAAACTTTGTCATTGCAGTAAAAAATGAGTTTAAAAAATCACTGTACTATAAAAGAAAGAAAACCAAAACTGAAATAAATTATTTACATAAATTATGGGTAATCAATATAGCACTATTAAAATAAAACAAAAAATAGTTTAGATAAATTCATTTCAGAGTTGTTTCTCCATCTCATAGAATCCATTTAGTTCAATAATTACATCTCATGTAATTCAAAAAGAAGTAGAAAGCCACATATCCAATTTCTTGGTTTCCTTTGTGTATGATCATCAGCCTCAAATTCTTTTAAAAATATAGAAAAGATAGGAATGTTCCATAAACCTTGAGACTTGGCCAATACATACATAGTCCCATATGTAGGATTAAGAACAATCAAAGTCAGTGAGGAAAGTTGAGATACCAAGTAACTTGCAGGTCAACAGGACGTTAAGTGGCTGTCAGATGAGGGAGGTTATGAAGGTGGCTGCTGTGGCATATGTTAACGATTTCAGGTTCAGAGGTGGCTGGGTGAGTGGGGGATATGCAGGTAGCTGCAGTGGTGCATAAGTTATTTCATGCCTAGGGAGCAGAGGTGGCCGATGGCAGATGGGGCATAGATGGCTGCAGCAGAATCTACAAGCAATTTTAAGCACAGGGGTGGCTGCTATCAGATGGTGGGGGGTAGCAGGTGGCTACAGTGGTATATATGAACAATTCCAGGCTCAGAGGTGGCTGCTCCTCGGAAAAGGAGATTTGACAGAGCAACTTGCAACTTTCCGGCTAACTTCTCCATTGATTTTGTTTATAGGAAGCTGTCAGTGAAGGCCGCAAATGGCAATCCTGTGATTGTGGACCACTGCAACCATCGTAAGTATAAGCCAGTTGCCAAGTTACCAGATCGACATCATGTTACCGCAGGGGTGGTGCGATGGCTGGAACTTTGAGGACTGGCCATAGGTATCAAAAGTTCTGCACCACCCAACTTTAAACAGTCACTGATTAAGTAATCACTAAGTGAGGACTACCTACAGTATATAACTTATGTTTTTATAAGGAAGTGAGAAAAAATGTTCTGCACAAACAGCTAGAAATTTTGGTTAAATAGATTGTAAGATTCTGAAATTGTCACTAAGAATGGCCAGATTGTCTTTTGCTTCTGAAGCTATTAATAATAATTTTTTCCTTTTTCTGTAAGCCAATATGTACTTTGGATAATAAGGGGGACCAATATGAAGCAATCAACTTGAGTGGTGGATATTCAATTTTTAATAATCGGATTTGTGGAAAGCTCTCCTGTTGCTTCAGGAACTAATGAATTCTAAACAGCTGTTGCAAAATATAATACTCCTGGCCTGGATGGCTTTTCAGGGGACTGGCCTGGATGGCTTTTCAAGGTTTCTGCTGAGTCATTCTAAATCTTTTGGATGTAAGTCAGGTGTCTGCAACCTTAAACACTCAAAGAGCCATTTGGACCTGTTTCCACAGAAAACACCAGGAGCCAATAATTTAAGAAACGGTGTGACTGGTTTTGGTTTTAGCTTTTGAGAAAGACAAATAAAGGAAAGTATCAGTATTTCTGTAAACAGAAAAAAACCAAAAACGGTGTGACTGGGAAGGCATGACCAACTTGATGTCACTCATACCCACCCAGACACATGACCCCCCCCTCCAGCCACGCCTACCCAGCTGGTCATTAGGGCAGAATTATTTGCCCAGCTGGCCCTGCCTCACCCCTTTCTTCCCAGCTACCTCTTGCCACACCCAGCCTCAGGTGTGTTGTTCAACTTTCTCTCTCTCTCCCCCCTCCCTCCCTGCCACTGTTGCCAGGGGGGAGTGGGGCAGGGTCGCATTGTGGCTCTGGATCATAATGGGCTCCAGGAGGAGGGGGGACTTTCTCCCCCATTGTGAAGCGCACTAAATTTCACTGTGTTGCACGAGGCGCTGCAAGAGGCCATGGAGGCGACAACAATTCCAAGCTCAAAGCGGCTTACAGCTCCAAGACCAAAGTGGCAGGAGGCGAAGGCTGCCTTGAGTGCAAATGGAAGGCAGATATTGTTGCTGTGCAAATGCAAGTACAGGGGTGCTTTGCTTCTGCTCTGGAATATGGAGCGAGTCTCCATCCCCTGCTGTCACCCTTACCTTCTCAGGCCAGACGAGGAGTGACTGGGGGGGGGAGGGGAGGGGCCAGCCAGTGATGAGATCAGCCGACAGGGAGCTGCAGCAGAGAGCTGAAAGAGCCACATGTGGCTCCAAAGCCGTGGGTTGCCAACCCTGATGTAAGTAATGAATCTTTTTTCAGGATGTTAAACTACCAGCATTGTTTTATACTAACAATTACACTAAGGTATTTATTATGCTGGTTACATATTACATAGCTGCAAAAACTTTTACCGCATATAATTTACTACCCCATCAAGAGTTTACAAAAAATCATCAAGCATCGGACAATATGTTTATTAGTTGATATACTGGATATAGTCAGGATGGAATCTACTAGTAGCTTTAGACCCAGAAAAAGCCTTTGCTAAGTTATCTACTTCCAAAAGCCATTCCTTTTTTTCTCTCCTTTAGCTATATAGGTTATAGCTAACATATGCTTTGGCTATGTCCCATATGTTCTGGAGTGAGGTACTGTATCTCCTCTTTTATATTTTTTAAAGAAAAAAAATCCATTTCCTTTGCTGCAGGTTCTGTGAACTCTTTTCTCTTAATAGGGCTTGGTTCAGCATCCACCTAAGATTCTTCTTTACACCTTTCCAAGTTAATTTTACTGGATTGTGCTCCACCCAAACACTAGGTTCTATTTTAACCTCAAGTATATCAGTTCTTAATGCCAGAAAAATCCATATCATATCAATTCTAGACCATGATTTGTGTCTTTTTCAAATTTATTTCTCTCCAGACATTTTGTATACAAATTTCTTCTATCATTTTAAAAAACATCCTAGGTAGTCTCTTTCTGCTCTCCTCTCACCCAATTTTAGTGCTTTTATAGTCTAGTGTTTCATCCACAATTGAATTAAAATATCCTAGAAGACAAATGTTTCTATATTCCATTTCCAATATTTTCTTATGTAATGCTTGGCAAAAAATTTCTTGCTTATTGTTTTGGTACATTTTGATTAGTTATTATTTCCACCATCAAAATTCTTCCTTCTTCATCTGAGTATATCTGTTTAGAATCCAATGATTCTTATATATATATAAAGCTACTCTTTTTTGCTGTGCTGATATATAGTTTCCCAATTTTGGGGCATTCTAAAAGTTTATAGTGTTGTTTCTTTATGTGTGTTTCTTGTAGACAGATTATTTCTGTGTCCAATTTTTGCAATTCTGTAAAAAGTTTTCTTTGTTCAGAAGGGGAAATTTAATCCATTTATATTTAACTTGCCTCGTGGTATAACCAGAACAATCTGGAACTGAACAAACTCAAAACCGCAGAAATGGTGGTAGACTTTAGAAGAAACCCTCCCATACTACCACCTCTTACAATACTAGACAACACAGTATCAACAATAGAAACCTTCAAATTCCTAGGTTCTATCATATAACAAGACCTAAAATGGATACCTGACATTAAAAACATCATAAAGCACAACAAAGAATGTTCTTTCTGCACCAACTCAGAAAGCTCAAAGTGCCCAAGGAGCTGCTGATACAGTTCTACAAAGGAATTATTGAGTCTGTCATCTGCAGCTCTATAACTGTCTGGTTTGGTTCTGCAACCCAACAGGACAGGCACAGACTTCAGAGGATAATCAGGACTGCAGAAATTTTTTTTACTACCAATCTGCCTTCAATCGAAGACCTGTATACTGCATGAGTCAAAAAGAGGGCTGTGAAAATATTTACAGAACCCTCACATCCCGGATATAAACTCTTTCAACTCCTACCCTCAAAATGACACTATAGAGTACTACACACCAGAACAACTAGACACGAGGATAGTTTTCCCCCGAATACCATCACTTTGTTAAACAAATAATTCCCTCAACACTGTCCAACTATTTACGTCTACACTACTATTACTATTAATTTTCTTATCATTCCTCATCACCCATCCCCTCCACTTGTGATTATATGACTGTAACTTTGTCGCTTGTATCCTTATGATTTATATTGACTGTTTCTTAGTATAATTTGATTGCTTATTGTACCTTATGACTACTATTAAGTGTTGTACCTTATGATTCTTGACTCTTGAGGAATGTATCTTTTCTTTTATGTACACTGAGAGCATTTTTCACCAAGACAAATTCCTTGTGTGTTCAATCACTCTTGGCCAATAAAGAATTCTATTCTATACATTGAAAGGATCCCTTTTTTTTTCTCCATCTTAATTATATTTGGAGTTTAGTTTCCTAGTGATTCTTCTGTCTTTGTTCTCTTATTAGTCCCTTTTCTTCTTGGTCAGTGTTTTCTTTCTCTTTGTCTTCTTCATTTTGTATCACTGTATTTTCTATTGGTTTTTTCTCCCTGTTTTCCTTATCTTTTTGTGTACCTTGTGGTTTCCCTTCAAAAATGCTTGCATGTCTCTCATAGAAATCTGCTGCCTTAAAGGTAGAGTCTGTATCTTCTAGAGTTCCAGTTAATTAGGATCCCCTCCAGAACCAGCCATCCAAAATTTACTCCTTTTTCATTCAGCTTTGTTGTCAAAAATTGATATTGTCTTCTTAGATCTCTTATCTTCCAGGGAATCTGTTTTAACACCATGATTTCCTTTTTTCTGCATTGTAGTGTTTTTCCCTCATTCTCTTCAATATTTCATCCCTTATTCTTCTTCTGACAACTCTAACATGGACCTTTCTGGGCACTTTGTGTCTTCTTGTGTAGCTTGAGTTTAGTCTGTACATTTGGTCAATCTCCTCTACTATTACAACTTTCTCAATTTGCAAAGCATCTGCCAGCAGGTTCATAATAAATTCCATTAAATCTTCCTCCTTATCTTCAGGTATATTCTGAAATCTTAATATGTAAGAAGCTTTCTCCATTTCAAATGTTGCTACTGCATTTTTGTTTGCCTGTGCCAATCACTGGTTTTCTTTTATTTCTTCCATCTTTTTTCCATTTCTTCTATTTTATCTTCCATTTTTTGAATTCTTTGTTCATTCTTTATAACCCTTTGTTGAAAATTTTCTAGCTGGCAACTTCCCTGGATCGAAGGAGCAAACCGTTGTCTGCTCATGTTCTATAGGATTCCCACCTCTATTGTCGCCTCTATGGGGCAACTTTCATTCCCTTGGGGGCCTCTGGCAGGATGAAATCAATCGCAGAAAGCCGAGCCCAGCTTTCCCTTGACTGTATCGCCATGACACCAAACCAGAAGTCATCCAAAAGCCATTCCTTAATGTCTAGAATATTTTTTTTTCCAAATTCACAGTATGACTCTTTTATCCCCTATTTATACTATAAATAGTCACATTTGAAACACCGATGTTCTTAGTTTGGCTTTCCTGCTTCTCTTTTCTTTTTCTGATTTCTATCTTTTTTAAGCTTTAGAGTTTTTTAAAAATATATTTGCCTATATTTAAATTTATATTTAACCATAAACTAATATATTTATTTAAAGAAAAATGGAAATTTCAGATTACATGTTTTTTCCTACACAGGAAATGCAGACAAATAACGAATAGTTTACCTCCGGAGCAACAAAATTTGCTGTGTAACAGGGTGTCATTAAGAGGCCATTTTCTGCTCTCAGCTGCTTTGCAAAGCCAAAATCACAAATTCGAATAGATTCTGGATTTCCTGATTCATCAACATATAAGATATTACTGGGCTTCAAATCTCTATGTACGACCTTAAGAAAAACAAAGAAAAAAATTTATGCAAAATCATCTGCAAGTTCCTTCATGACTGAAAAGACCTGACAGTTTTTCTGCAGCTTTGCAGAAAAGTATCCAGAAAAGTAAAGGCATCTCTGTTGTTCCTTGGAACTCAATGGTTTTAGATGGGAAACAGTTCAGTTGCAGGATTTCTTGTAAACATATCTCTTTATTCTCAATAAAACTTGTTAAAGAGACTGTGTGAGGTTTCTTTTCAGAAAAGCTGATAATGATTTTAAAAATAGATAGCTGACAAAAACAGACTTACCCCTTGTGCATGAAGATATTCAACAGTTTTTGTAATTGTCAATAATACAGCACTAGCTTCTCTTTCAGAAAAAAATTTTTGCCTAAGGATTTTGTCCAACAGTTCTCCACCTTTCATGAGTTCTGTTACCAGATATACATATTTTCCATCATCATATACCTGAAAATAACATTAAATATCCAATCATACCATGCACCTGAAAGTGACATACAAAATGATTCACAAAAGAAATGGATCTTCAAAATACTGGTTATCACCTCTTGAAATAGTGTGTGATATCTAAAGAATTCAGAAAATATCACAAGATAAAGGATTGCTCAGCTAAAAAATCACTGCAACTTAAGATAAAAAAATATCTAAAACTGCATGACAATCACAGAAAGGAAGAGAAAAATAAATTACAGAGTTTAATAGTTCAATTGGCAATGTGAAAAGTTATTTTAAATGATGTCTTCCAAAATTATAGCTGAGTGGAAAGAGAATCTCCCATCTAATGAATGAAAAACAAGAGTTTTGACATTCACATTTATGACAGTAATGCATGTTTATTCATTCATTCATTTTAAAATCATGTATTGTTTAATTTCTCAGGAATTAAAATTCAGTACCTTCAGTATCATTTCTGCCAAGAAAGGTTTACATCCATGTTTTAAAATGTACTGCCTCTTTGTATATAATGCAGCAAGGTAAATACAAACATTTAGTTTCTAAAGCACAAGGCCGCAAGTATTGAAAAATTGGTTGAAATATAAAAAAACAGGTCACTGAGAGTATTTACCTGTAATATTTTAGGGGTGTTTTTCTTTTGTTGTTGTTGCAGCTCCATAAACTTTTGTTTATGCTTTGTACAAGATTATACATCCTATTCCTGGGGAACTTTGGATAGCAGCACTTGTGTAAGAAGCAAGAATATGCTTGGCAAACCTGTGGTCTATTAATGTCACTACTCACTACCTCAGCTTAGAAAGCCATCCTCAATGACTTTATTATAAATCTATCAATATTCTAAGATCGTATTTCTACACTAAAGACTGTGAGCACATTTATTAAGGTCTATCAGAGGGTAAGGCCCAACAGAGGGTATAAAATTCAGGAACTCCCAACATCTTGGCCCTTTTCTTTCTTCACCTAACATCTTGAAGCATGTGATCACCCTTTTCACCCAGGATTCCAATCCTTGTGGTCTTGTTCACCATTAAACCTTCTTTCCAAGCAACTTCCATGAATCCAGGTCTTTTTCCCAACTTGGAACTTATCCCACAAGGATAAGTTCAACAAGCTAATAGAAAGCAAATAACACATTGATATTAATGACAATTACCATGAAGATGCTTATATTATAAACTTACATCTTTCAGAGTAATAATATTTGGATGCTGTCCATATCGTAGCAATATTTCTATTTCCTCTGTAGGGTCTCTCTTACTCTTGTCTATAATCTAGAGGAGCAAATAAATATAAATCAATAATTTTACACAATACTAATAACTAATTAAATTATTTTTTATAACAGCAAACATCTGAAACAGTATTTTCACCTTGTTTAAAGAGAAAGTTAGGTTGCTGTACTAGTTAAGGCACTGAGCTAAAAATCAGGGGACTGCTATCAAACCTTACTCGACTCCATATTGTCTGTGCCTGCTTTCTTTCTCAGTTTTGCCAAAGAGTGTTGGGAAGGGGCAATGAATTCCTAAGGGTGAAGGGAGACTGTGGAATTCAAGTGAACCAAGGCCAAGTGATGAAGAATGTTTTGACTGAAGCAGACAGCTTTTCTCAAAGCAAAAGAACCGAATTCAATTGGTGAACTCTGAATTGTGGGTGGCCCAGAGGGGAAAAAGGGAGTTACTTATGTGGCTTTTTGTGGGAAAACCCTCAGAACTGACTTTGCTTCTGCCATGCCTAGATGGATTTTTCAATAAAGCTACATTCTTGGCTAATCTAAAGAGCTGGGAATTTCTTTTTTTGAATGTGACAAACGGGAGTCAGTTTTCACAGTAGTGCCTACCTCGATCCCACCATTAGGCCAAAGAGCCAAGATGTCGGCAACAGGCAAGGAATCAGAGGAGAGGAAGAAGCCGAAAAAGCCCTGGCTCAAGAAGCCCTGGCAGTATTGCAAAATGGAGTAGGGATGCAGCCATGTCCCAAACTCAGGGCTGAAAAGCCAGAGATGCACTTGGTGAACTTCAAAGAATGTCTGCGGGGTGCCCTGTACCAAAGACCGAGACTGGCTGGGCAGTGAACATGGGAAAGGCAGCAGAAGCCAAGACCCTCTCATCCCTGCAGGAGTTAATGTGACCCAAGAGAGCTAATGGAAGGCGAGGCAGCCAGCTGAGTCAATCGAGTGGAAGCTCCCTGCTATCACCCACAGTGCATCAATGGAGCATCTGGGAGAGATGTTTGGAGGCCTGGACGTCAAGTGAGCGGTGTCACCTAGAGCCAAGGCAGCTGTGGCCAAGGGAAGTGAAGATTCTAACTGCCCTGTCCCCTCTCCTCCCCTTCTGCAGCCGGTAGTATCAGTACTGCAGCCAGTAGTATCAGTACCTGCCAGGACGATTGGATCTTCCTTGGAATGATCAGCAGATTTCACCGTCCTTTCCCTGTGTGGCCCCGTCCTTTCCCAGTGAGTGGCCCCAGTGGCTGAAGCAGGGGTTGAGGCCCCTCCACCTCCCCTCATGGCAGCAGCAGTGTTCCTACCACCTGGGTCATCATGGTGAAAGATGAGTGACCACAGCCCCTCACTGTTCGATTCAATGGGGACTCAGGCAAACTGGCTCACTTCTTAGCCCAGACCTGGCACTACATGGAACACTATAAAGGAATGTCCCCAGATGATGATACCGGGTTCATCCAATGGCATCCAACCTGGAGGGTTGTGTGGCTAGATGGCTGGTGTCCATGCACAATACTGGGCCATAAGTGTTGGTGTCCTGGATGCATTCTTTTTTTGTCTCCCTCCCCCTCTTGATCTTTCCTCTGTAATTCCCTCTTCTGCTGTTTCCTTTTCCTTTGTTTAACTTTCCAAACAATTCCCCCTTTAATTATCACATCAAACCTCAAATTTTAGCTTTAATTCTTTCCCCCCCGTATTAATGTTTGTTGTTCCACTTGTTCTTTAAAGCTGGTTTCTTCCTTGTTTAACTCCTCCCCCTTCTGGTTCTCTTTGTTCTTCTTTAGTCTGTGTTGCCATTTCTAATTTTTGTAGTATAATACTGTACATTTCCAAGCTTTCTTTCATCATTTCCTTCATGTTTTGTAGCTCTAATCTTATTTCCACACATAATTCTCCCATTTGTACACTTTCCCCCCCTTTTTAAAATATTTATATCGAAGCCAATTATTCAGTAGTTTATTTCAACCAGCGTCTTTTATATTTAATTTCAACAGTCAGTGTCCATAAATCTTTGTTTCCAGGTTCCTTCTATTGATTTCTTTTCCAATTTTTTTTCCAAAGTCACTGAACAAACCCACGGCAATTTCTTCATGTATCTGTTTTTTCTTTGTAGTGATCTAGTTTTTCACTTTTCAGAGTTTTTATTTTATTATAATAGAATTCTTATTTCATTTCAAATTCCAATTTTAAAAAGACCAAGTACTTTTCAAAGAGTCACTGAAATTTTTCCTTTACCATTAGGTGGCACTCTCAGTTCTGTTTCCAGTTCCACCCTTTCTTTTCACTTTTTCCTTTTTTTAAAGCTTTTATTAATTTCACTAATTCCAATTATTAACTATTATTTCTTTTTAACACATTCAATTCCAACATTTAATTATGCCTATTTAGTGCCAAAATCCAGATAATTATCCAGGCTTTTATAATCAAATGTTTTCCTCTGAGTTTTCCACCTCCAAATTAATTCTTTTCAAAATCCAAAGCCAATTTCACAAGTTTCCAATTTTCTTCTCTGTCTCTGTTCACTGCTTCTACTTTCATAAAAAATTCTTTGTTTCTTAATTTCGAGGTATTTTTAATGTCCATGTATTTCGCTTGGTTCACACACCGCTCACAACTTCACTGCTCCAGCAGTCTTAGTTTCCTGGACTGCCTCCCGTCTTCATGGTGGCCATTTTAGACCACCACTGCAACTTGTCTTCAGAGGGGGTTTGCCTTGTCGGGAAGGGGAGATGCGGCTCCAGGCAGTCCCCCTTTCTTCACCACCCCTCCCGGGTGGTTCCGGTCCCGATCAGGACCCTCCAATGAGCGAGTGAAGAGCGAAACTGCGCATGATCATGGATTTCACTCCGACCTGACAGGAGCACAACCAGAAGTCCAGGTGTCGTGGATACATTCATGCATATCCTGCGAGGGCGATTTGAGGATTCCATAGCGATCTAGCACACTGAATCCCGCATTTGTACCCTTAAGCAGAGGAAGTGACCAGTGGCAGAGTACATCTTCCTGACTGGCCAGAATGCATGCTAGTCTCCTACATCTGAGGGGGGCTAGATTGATAATTATACTAGAACTACATCCCCGGAGGGGTGCCCTAGAACTTGCAAGTGTAGTTCCGAATAGCTGGCGAAGTGGAGATTGACCTGATGAATTTCCAAGAGCACACATGCAGAGAAGCTGGTTCTGCAGAGCACTCGAGAGTCACCCTGGTCCTGGGGGAAACGGGGCACCCCCTTAGCCGGAGGAGGCAAGCATTGCAAAGCCCCGGGGGAGGGTCATTGAATAGCTGAGTGCCTTGCACCATGACCAGCAACTGCTCCTCTGCCCACCAGCCAACCCAAGAAAGAGACACCCAGTTAACCTAGCAGGTAGTAAATGCCATCTATAAAATATTTTATATAAGTTTTCTTTATAAGAGGTTGCCATTGTTAATGTATAGTTCCTTTCCCATAAATTTAGCTAAAATGTTTTTAAAAATATCTAGTAAAGGTTGGAAATGTAACCAAAAAATAGGCACATTTTATCATATGTGGTGGACTTCGATCCATGCTCGCTGCTGGAGCTCCCTGAGCCGGCTGGTTTCAGGGCAAAACCACCCCGTAGAGGTGGTGAAGAGGGGAGAGACTGACTGCAGGGTTGAGGAGAGCCGCATCTCTCCTCCTCAGCTGGCCATTACTCCCTTTCCCGAAGGTGGTTGCAGCAGTGGTCAGAAATGGCCACCACAAAGAACTCGACTAGAAAAGAAAGTGCAGGAGGAAGATAAGAAGAGAAAGTTTTAGTTGACCGGGTCAAACAGCAAAAGCAATAAATAAGGAACCCTGGAATTTAAACTATAAAAAAATAACACTGTTCCCAAAGAAATTTTTCAAACAGTGAAGGAGAGAGAAAAGGGAAAGGATGTGGTTTCTTTTCTCTCCTCTTCCTTTTCCTATACTGACAGCTAAGAGACTTAAGCAAGAAATTGAAAAAAAAATCCACTTTGACATCAATAGGCATTTAAGCTGAAAATAAAATGTGAAAGGGATAATAAAGATCTCTGGATATTTAAAAGCTTTTGAAAGCAGGAAAGGAGAGAAAAAGAATAAAAGGGCAGGATCTGGAAGGGAGGAGACTGCCTGGAATTAAAAAGAACTTACAGTAAAATCTTAACAAGACTTCTAAAAGATACATTTTAACTGAAACATGGCAACAAAATAGTAAAACCTCAGGAAGAGAAAGTGAAAAAAGAAGTAAGAAGAAACAGCTCGGGAGTATTTGGATTACTTGGTGACTTCTGGATTTTTGGTTACTGCATTTGAATGACTAAAATCAATCGGGTGGTTGTTTAAAAGTGTTTAAAATGGCACCACTTTTAGAAGAACTGAAAACAAAACTTAAAAAGTACAAAGAAGATGCACAAGAAGGGAGAGGTTCTTTTGGCTTCGTATTTCAATTCTTAGAAATGGAGATTCAACAAGAAACGCCTGCAGAACAAGAAGATTGCAACAAAGAAGAAGCCATCTTTAAGGAACAAGTAATTTTTTGTGGGGGGAAAAAGGGAAAGGGGAGAAAGAGAATGAAAAGTTTAAGATTTGGAAAAACAACCCAAAAAAAGAATAGCTTGAAAAATAAGTATAAAATTAGAAAGCAACAGAAGAGGGAAATGCAGAAGAGAGAATTAGAAGTAGAGAGACAAGGGGATAAAAAGGGGAGGGAGAAGAAGAGAGGGAAGAAAGAAAGGAAAAGAAGTTATAAAGGACAGAAACAAGATATAGAGAAACAGGGCCTATTTAGAGATAATGGGTGAAAATATAATTGAAAAAGGGATTCTGCAAAGGTACATAAGATAGTATTGTTATATTAGAAATAGAAATAATTTCAGAAAATATGAAACAATGTATGATCAAAATGATGGATAAAATAGATCATAATTTAGTGGAATGTTTGTTAATAAATAAATGTAATAAAATGAATATTTAATGATTTATAAAACATAAGTAAAGAGAAATAGGGGAAAAATTAATTATGGAAAGATTACACGTTTCCCCAAGGAAGTATGATATTTAATTGAAA